CAGCGCCCAATTCCTGGCAGCTGCTGTCTTGATGGATAGATTTTTTTTGGTTCCGAAAGTGACGTTAGGACTGGCCGCACCCCAAACCCTGCGCCACCCCCAAAACCCTGGTCAGCAGGAACCATGTCACAGGAGAGCTGCCAGAGCCCAGGTCAGGGCTAGAGGCCACGTCCCAACCTCAAACCCTGCGCCAGGTCAGGATAGCAGCCAGAGCCCACGGGCTAGGAGCAAGCCTAGCAGCCAGAGCCCACGGGCTAGGAGCAGGAGCCATGTCAGGATAGCACCCCGGAGTTAGGGTCAGGATAGCACCCCGGAGCTAGAGGCAGCGCCCAATTCCTGGCAGCTGCTGTCTTGATTGAAAATTTTTTATTGGTTCCGAAAGTGACGTTAGGACTGGCCGCACCCCAAACCCTCCGCCAGGTCAGGATAGCAGCCAGAGCCATGGGGCCACGTCAAGGCTAGGGCCAGCTGGAACCATAGTCTACTGAAGCATCACTATTCTAATGAATGTTTTTCTACGGGAAAACGAAAGACCCTTCGATCTGGAGCTCTTGAACATTTTTCATACGAGTTTAATAACGGATTTTATCACATTTTACTGCTTCCCCCCATTTCCGGGACCCCCTGGTAGAAAGAAATACAACCGAGGTTTCCTTATTCGGGGGGGGGGTTCTTTTAATGAGTGGACCGGATTAATAAGCTGGGGCCATCGCTACTAGAGTCGAGGCCCCCTGTCGTCGAGGTCCAAACTAGCAAGCAACTCGCCTAGAACCTCCAGCCGCGACTTCGTCGCTACAGCTCTCTAGTTCCTTTGCTCCTCTCACCATGCACAATCATACTCTCGCCCACCCGGGCCCACCGTCGAGGGTAGTTACTGCAAGACTCATTAGCGCAACTCTTTCTGTTTTGTGCCTGCGTGTGCGTAGACAGTGAGAGACATATACAGCTACGCTGTTGCTATTTGCAGTACATTCATGCCTCTCGAAATGTTCGCAATGCCTTTCGGCTGCGCAATCCCTGCGTCCAGCTTCCTCTTTCCAAGTCCCTGCTTCTACTTCCCTGCCCCCAGGTCCCTGGAACCAGTTCACTGTGCCCAGTTTCCTTCGCCCACTTCACTGCTCAGCTTTCCTCCGTCCGATTCCCGCAGCACTTTCCGCGTCCCAGGTTTCCCATTTCCCAGTATCCAAGTCCCTGCCTCCAATTCCCTGCTTCCAATTCCCTGCCTCCAATTCCCTGGTCCCAGTTCCCTGCGCGCACGCTTCCAGTTCCCTGCCTCCAGTTCCCTGCTTCCAGTTCCCTGCCTCCAGTTCCCTCCTTCCGGGTCCCTGCCTCCAGTTCCCTCAAGCCTGTTCCCTGCGTCCAGTTCCCTTCCTCCAGTTCCCTTCAGCCAGACCCCTGCCCCACTTCCCTTTGCCCACTCCCCTGCCCACTTTCCCTGTCTCGGTTTCCCATTTCCCAGTCTCTGCCTCCAGTTCCTTCCTTCCGGGTCCCTGCCTCCAGTTCCCTGGAGCCAGCTCCCTGCGTCCAGTTCCCTGCCTCCAGTCCCCTGCCCCAGTTCCCTTTGCCCACTCCCCTGGCCACTTTCCCTGTCCCCGCTTTCCCAGTTCCCAGTCTCCAGGTCCCTGCCTCCAGTTCCCTGCTTCCGGTTCCCTGCCTCCAATTCCCTAGTCCCAGTTCCCAGCGTCCACGCTTCCACTTCCCTGCCTCCAGTTCCCTGCTTCCAGTTCCCTGCCTCAAGGTCCCCAGAGCCAATTCCCTGCGTCCAGTGTCCTCTGCCCAGTTCACTGCTCAGGTGCCCTGTTTCGCATTTCCCCTGTCGCCAGTTCCATTCCGCCAGTTTCCTGCCACTGACCGCCTCACAGTAAAACAGCCCCCAAAATTCACCCACGCCACACCTCGCATTTCCTCCTCCTCCAGTTCACTTTTACACGTTCCCTGCCTCAAATTTCCTTTCTCCTCTCCACTGCCTCACCTCTCTTTTTGCATTTCTCTGCCTCACAAACCTTCACTTGACTAACAATGTCACACGTGTTTCCAAAAAGAATCCTCGCAAAAAAAAATTGGCCCTCTGCCGCTTTCACTTGCTTTCACTATGTTCAAACAAATCCAGACAACCCGCTTCCACCTTCTCTGTGCACTGTTGCCTGTGCGAGTTCACCCAAAGTTCCTTTCTCCGCGCTCGATCCTTTTCCCCACAATAAAGTTATTTACCCTACCTTTCGCCTTCCTGCGTTCTATCTTTCGCCGCAGTATGTTGCCCTTATCTGTGCCATGTGTGTGTTGTGGTTTTGTTCTCGTCACACCTTCTTTCGTTACTAGCAAACACGAAATATTAGAACTTCACTGTCTGTCAGCATGTGTCTTCTACGTAGCTGTTGACACCCTGTGCGTCTGTTTTCTTTCTCTTGGGAGTCAGCAAGCATCAAACATGCAAATTCACAGTAGCAACCAGTCACTCGAACTTACGCATACTCTTACTCCTAATGGGCTAGAGGCCGAGTTTGGCAGGGTTAACTTTCGCCGATCTTCCGCTGAACTTTCGCCACAATTTCGCCTTTTGCGGGGTCCACTTTTGTAGCCAATCCACCCCGACCCAAAACAGGAACAAGAAAAGTTGTCGTCTCTCTCTGCCCTGTTCCCCCTCGACCATCGCGCCTATGTCTGACCCCCTTCCCTGCCTCCTCCTCTCCTACACGCAGCGACCGAACCAGACGCTGCGCCCTCCCTGCTTTCTTCCTCGCCCTGCCCCTGCCTCGCCACAGCGACCGAAACAGACGCTGGGCCCTGTGCCTTCCCCTTTCCCTCTCCTCCTCCCGCTTGCATACACGACCCCCCCTGTCCCTCCCCCTTTCTCCGCCCTTCTCCCACTCCACCCCAACGACCACACCTGACCCCGTCCCTGCCTCCTCCCCTCATACACGCGGCGACCGAACCAGACGCCACGCCCCCCATGCTAGTTTTCCTCCTCGACCTCCCCTGCCTCGCCACAGCGACCGAAGCAGACGCTGGGCCTGTCCCCTCCTCCTCTCCTTCTCCTCCCCCCGCTCGCCTCTCCATATCCCTCCCCCTCTCTGCCCTGCCTCCCCTCGACAACAACGACCACCCTGCTCCCGTCCCTGCCTCCTCCCCTTCTAGACGCGGCGACCGAACCAGACGCCGCACCGCCCCGTTCTTTCCTCCTCGACCTCCCCTGCTTCGCCACAGCGACCGAACCAGACGCTGGGCCCTATCCCCTGCTCCTCCCCTTCTCCTCCTCCCGCTCGCGCCTCTCCACATCCCTCCCCTTCACCACAACGACCACCCCTGCTCCCGTCCAAGCCTTCTCCACTCCTACTTCCCGGGGTCGGCGGCACGGGGGCGTAGCCCTTAAATAATATAATATATACATATTAATATTTGCTACAATGTCCCCCAATTATGCCGATTCTTGCCTGGGCTGACATAACGCGACCTATGGACCGTCCTTGCTCAGCAAAGGTCCCAAATGGACAAACTCGACAGCTACCATGGTCTTCCGCTGGTATGGCTCCCACCTCGCAGCGATAGCATGTTGTTGCACCTTTGCTCGCCACCAAGCCATGAGCACATGGATGGCAGGTGCCGTTGCTGCGCACGTGGCCCGCCAAACATTCGAAGGACCAGTGGCCGGTGTCCACATCAAAGACCGGCCTCGTCTGGTTGAAAGCCATCGCTCCATCGAAGATACGTTCCATGTTGGTGACGGCCGAAATGTCCCACGTATGAATCGGCTGGTTAAATTCAGCAGCACCATCGAACATCGCTTCCATGCTTGTCACGGCAGAGGTGTTCCATGTGCCGATGGGTTGGTTGAACTGTGTGGCATTGCGGAACATATGGGCCATGTCAATGACGGCAGAGGTGTCCCATGCATGAATGTCTTCATTGAAGGAGGAGCAGCCTGCCACCAGTGTGGAACCAATAAATCTGCCCGCCCACATCTTCCAAAACGTGCCCGACATCTATCTAGGCCTTGAAGACTCTAAAACGATGACCACTACCGACACCAAGCAGCAATTTTCCAAACACGGGCCCCGGGCCTTCAAAAAGCCTTGACATGTTGGTCACCCTGGAAACGTTCCATGTGCCAATGTGCCCCATGCCATCCATCTGTGTGTCACCGTCACACCATGCATGCACGGCTTCTCTTAGGTCCTGCCCTTGGAAGGACCATGCCGAGACTGTGGCAATCAGAAGCCAAAACTTTATTGGCAATGTGGACAACGACATGCCCTGCAGACTGCCCTGCAGACTGCCCTGCCGTGCTCAACACTTGGGCCAAAATGGCCTCTCAAGTTTCGAGTCCAAGCATGCAGGATGAAGCCTCGGATGAGGCCTTGGGATGCCCCCGTTCCACGTTGAAACCGCACCGTCGAACGGTGAGTCTGGCGAACCATCAGCTCTGATGCATTCACCGGTTTGTTTGTGGTTCGCCACACTCAAAAATAGTTTATCATACTTTATCTACCTTCACACTATGCGAGACTGTGAGCCTCTGAAGTGTTGAATAGTGGATTCTCACTTCCCCAACAGGCAAATCATGATGATCATGATGACATATCAAAGGGAGTTGGAACAAAACATGTCAAAAGCTTTGATCATCTTTGACAAAAATATGACAATATGGATCCCAAGGTATCCCAAGGCGCCCAATCTATTTAACACGGCTCCAGTGCCCTCACATCTGCTCCTGCAAAGACTGTGCTGATGAGGAGGCGGTGGAGGCCACACCTCGTTCGACCGCCGTCATCCGGATGGACACGGCGACACCCGAGACCCGGCCGTCTTGGTCTCCTTGTTTCGGTGCCACCATGAGAATGTGCTGCGTTTTCCGAACAATGTGTTTTGTGTGCTGCGTTCAGTGCGTCATTCTGCTGCAAACAAATCCATTGTAACAGTAGCAGCCGAGCCGATCACCATATCGACAGCCGAACCAAGCACTGTGCTGATGATTGATCTCAATGTCTTTTTTCTTCTCCACTCGACGGAAGATGTCACTCAGCGGGGTGGCTACCCTGAGCAAAACGCATCTTCCAAATGTTTGTCTGGAAGAGCCTGGCTACACAAAGGGCACAAAGCACCGCCCTCCTTCTTGGCAGTGTGGGGTAAACCCTGGAAGGGTGGAGCCATGCAACCGGTAGCATAAGAACCATCCGCACAAATCTGCTAGAAGTTGGGCATATCCCATTACTTGGAACAGTACTAGTGGATGATGAGGGTTAGTAACGGCATGTAACGGCATTTGTCAAAAACATACTGAGCATCTTTTACTGACTGTTACTGGTAATAAGCTACACTGTTAGTAGAAGTGTCTGGTTGATGTTCCTCTTCTTCATGCACCAACTACTCCATGATGCCATGGCTCCACCCTGACTGAGCCTCGTCACGCCTCCAGCAGCGCCAACAGCTCCGAAAGCACCTGGAGCCGGTCGCTGTCTTCGCTGTGGCAAGGTACGTGGCGAGTTCCGCCGCTAGTGCAACTGCTAGTGCCACGTCTCATGTAGGAGTAGTAATGTGAACAATCTGATGAACTAGGGGCTGCTGGCCTTACTACTAGGAACAAGGACGCTACTATGGGCTCCTGGCCTTACTACCAATTAGGAGCAAGGACGCTACTAGGAGCAAAGGGCATCGCTACTAGGAGCAATGTTCGCTACTAGGGGACCCCAAAAAAGGGGGCCAGGGGACAATCTTGAAGAACTCCAAGTTGACAATCTTGAACAACCAACAAAGTTGCGGCTCTTGGTTGCCACATGCGGAGGTTATTTGATGAATGGCCCAGACTGAACAATTTTTGACTTGTTTCCAAGTTCACACCAAACCATTCTCTTGTCCACTGCAGAATCTTTTGAGTTGCCGGTTCCCTTGCTGGCCAACCCTCTACAGGTACATGTCCTACAGTACTTGGTGTTTTTCTTCGATGTTTTAAGACACTTCTGCTTGTGGCCCGCAGCTTCTCCGCCCATGGCTCTCCTGCCAAAACGGCGCCTCGTTACCCTTCAGCCTCCCAGCCAGGTCTTTGGTCACCTGGATGATCTTGGGCAGCATCTCCTCAGCGAAGTGCTTTGACGTTCAGGACCCTCACGGAAGTGGAGCCTCAAGGCCACCGGCGACTGACCGGAAAGGTGATGCCAAACTCCCAAGCAAAATATTGGGCCTCATGATGAAACCAAAGCATCCGCCCTAAGCCCCACACGGTTTTCACTTGTCGACCTATCCACTCTATCCGATCTATCCACTCTCCATCCTCGACCCCTTCCATCCACCCTCTCCTGGAGCTCACGATGCTCTTGACATGGCCTTTCAGCCGTCGCTTTGAGCAAACGGAGCTGTGCCTCCATGACTGGTGAGCCTTTGGCCGCCAGGATGCAGCGCCTCAGCAGTCGGCTGGAGCATCCAGCAGGCAGCTACGTGACTCGCCCCCACCCGGCAGCCAGCTTTTCCCCGACAAAGAATCATGCGGCAAGTGGTTGATTCGTTGGTCCAAGGAACATGTTAGAAACACATATTCAACTTTCAAGCACAGGCTGCCTTTTGTGTAAAAGGTTACCCCTTTTCTGCGCCGAAGATTTTGATCCGTAGACTTCGGGTCTATTGTTGCTTCTGACAATGTGCTCCGGCCGCAGGATTGAGTACTCATCTACATGCACATCTTGCTACAACAGTCCCGCGCTGTTAACCGAAAGTCCAACAATCATAAATCTGCTCCCCTGCACGATGCTTTACGTCGATCTTACAACGTGCACTTACGACCGCGCACTTCCAAGACTTCCGGACTACCAAATGGAGGTGTTTCTATCATTTTCTATCTGGAGTTGTTGCCTCTTGACATGAGGCAAGTTCAAGCTGAGGGCTACCGAGGATTTTGCTCGATGAATGAGGCAAAGGGGGGAACATAGAACCTTGTGAAGCCGATGACCTGCATTCGGGGGCCACAAGGCAGCTGGAATCCCCAGCTGGGTTGAGTGAACAATTGCCAACGCTTCACACTTGGCTTCAATTGGGCGGTCTTTCTGAGGGTGTGCACCCTGCCATGTGGATACTGTGTGGGCAATACTAAAGAAAAGTGATCCAGGATGTTAAGAAATTTGCAGCAGTAATTATATAGTTATATCACGTTATATATATGTATATGTATAGAGAGAGAGTGTGTGTGCGCGCATAACTTCAGAGACAAATATACAAACACCAATCTAGAAGGCTTTTGCATGGTTTTGCTCTTCAAGTCCCCTCCGAAATCTCCCTGGTCAGTTCTCCTTCAGCCTCGGCACGCAACCTTCACGGCCACCTCCTTGTCGCGTGACGCGCCCGCGCTGCTGGCGTTGCTGGCAGCACTGGCGCGGGGGTGGACCTCGCCACCTGCTTGGAAGACCTCAGGGCGGTAAGAAGCTCAACCGCTGTGGGGAACGGCCGTGTAATTCTGTCTGGTCAGTCTGGTCTTCTCAACAGTTTTGCACGAGGACGGCGGGTGATAGCCAAAAACCAAATAAAAAAATAGCTCTTCTTGGACACTATCTTGGACCTCTTTTCTAGGTGCAGTTCCCAACTGAACTATAATCTGAATCATAACCAAGCTGCAAAGGCGTCGAACGCAATGCGCAGGAACGACCAACCCCTCTCGACTTGACCGTGATGTCGCTCTTGTGGATGCACTGGAGTCCAAAGTGCCAGCAAGCTATCACAGTTGTACTTATTGTTCGTGATCACTGCGCGCAAAGAGTCAGCACAAAGGCTTAAGACCTCCGCATCGGCATAGAAGTGCCACATCACTGCGACCATCGCCTTGAGACTCGGTTGCTGTGCAAAACATCTTCACCCTTTGGGACTCCTGTTCCATATTTCAAAAACAATACAGCATATTTAGTTTTTGTTTAATGTATACTACTTCCAGTGGAATCTTGGAGTCATTTGGAGTCACTTCTTCTGTCTTCCCTTGGGTGTTGAGGTGATGGATGGACAAAAGCATCGGTGGATGTGTCGGTTGATTTCAGCATCTCCCTCTGGGACGATTTCTCCAGGTCTCCCTCAAGCCATTCTGCTTCTCCCCGGCGCCGCAGCGTGCGTAGTGGGAGATCTGCACCTTCACCAAGAGGGAGGACAGCAGCTCAAGCACTGCCTCACGGTCTACGCCGTCCCGGCGCAAGCACTCCCCGCCGGTGGGGCCCAGTTGCAGCACTTCAGCGGCCAAATCGGATGAGCCTGACGAACAAACCGAACAGCTGCTGGAAGGCATACCACGGCTACAAAAGGAGGCAAAAGAATCCTCCAGCAAGACAAGGGTTTAGGGATGTTTGGGGCATAATTAGGGGTTGACAAAGGTTGAACTCATCGACATTGACTATGTTTTCGAGAAGGTCTGACGGCTGCAATGTTTTATTGGGAAGTAAACATGTTCAGCTTTCTGGGGGAAGCAAATGCTGTGACTTGTCGACTACTGAGTGAACCTTCACCAGAAGCGGCATAATATAATATATATATATATGTATCCACCTAGAATCTAGAAGCTCGAGAAACTTCCTGACACATACAAGGCGGATAAGCATCGGATCCTTCTTTTCGTCAACTTGTGACACATCCATGTAGGCGTTCCCTGCCTGAAGCTGCTTCCACCCACATGGGGCTGTTTTCCCCTGTTTCCTTGGCCTGTCTCTCGAGCTCTCGGCGTTGAGCCAAGTTCTTCTTGACCCAGTCCTCTCCGAAAGTCTCTCGGTACCAACTGTCCATGCCCACATTGAAGTCCATCTGCACCTAGAAAACCATCCCACCCCACCTTCTTGAGTGAACATTTTAGTGGGAACCCCAAACCAAAGAAGTTACTTAGATTCCAAAGAAACCCTCCCTGAAACAATCATGAAAGATCATGAAGTGGAACACCCCCCTGCTAGTGGGAAAACAATCTTCCGAGCAGCCATCATGTTCCATCAATGTTCCACTTCCATGTTTGTTGGAGGGAGGGTGTATATATATCTATATATTACTATGTTGTTAACAGTTATATTAGAAAATTGGAAAAACTCGCACATATTTTGGGTTTGGATGTTCAGGACCTGTGGCATGTGCAAGACCCGCCTTCTTGCCCAGCAAAAGGTTGCGGTACATGACCTCTGCGACCTGCAGGTTGGCATCCTCAGATTGAATCATCCCAGTCAAAACATGAGCGTGCTGGCGGCCAAGCAAATCCACACTTCTGAGTTTGATCCACAATATAGCTGGAAGTTTGGAACTAAAGAAGTTTTGAACCACACTGCCACACTTCATTCATCTAGCTACTGTAGCTATTTGCCTTCATTCCGAAACCTTTCATGTCGCCATGCTGGTATTCATGAGACGCAGTGTGAGCACGTGAGCACTGTGGCGACAAAGGGCCAACATCTCACGGCATGTCGTTGCTTCCGTGGAGGGCATTGATGGCCCTGCATCTCCGGCGTGGGATGATTTGGTCAGATGAGTCAGATCATCCAAACTCCATCAACATTCCTGTTCCAATGCATCTATTAATTCCTACTAGTATCTGCCAACCATCCGGATGACCTCTCCTCTTTCTATGGCCCTGCTCATGGGTGCTCAATGCATCCCCATCGCCCTGAGCTCCAGCAATTGATTGGGTGTATTTCTGTTCCTGGGTGTATTTTTGTTTCGTTCATCTCAAAAACTCCAGCTGATGAAACGATGTAATGTAGATAGATTAGATGCCAAAAAACGGGTGTGCATTTACATAGGGAGACCTCCCAGTTCGACCGCCTGGAAGAATGGACATAGAACAAAACCCATTGGTTGGGAGCACCTTCAAGCTGGTGGGGATAGATGGTCGACTAATCACGCTTGGTCGACTAATCGGTTTACTGACAGGGGAACTAGTTCAAGGTCTACATGCGAACGTGCGAATGGGTCTTTGCTCCAGAAGGTGTTTGGGCAACCCTTTCTTGTCCAAACGAGTGGCCGTCTCTTTTGTCTTGTGGTTTGGAGCTTAGGGGCTTAGCCTGGATAATTTTCATGTGAGTTGGTGTGGATCAAGGCAGAAGAGGGTGACGACTCAGGACGCAGCTTTATGAAGAGACCAAGCCCACACCCGTTTGAGGCGTTTGCAGGAATCACTGGGTGGTCCGAGGAGCTTTCAATTATCGAAGTCCTGTCGTGCCAAGGGAAATCGATCCCAAATGATTTGAAGCCAGAACTTTGTTCTTGGCCTTTGTGGATGTAGATTTGGAGGCTTGCATTGTACAGTTCTTTGTTCTTTGCACAGTGCTGGGGCCCTGCTCCAATTATTCCATTGTATGTCTACCTTACGCTTGGCAAAGGCTGTCAAAGCCATTTCATGAGACATCATGCGCGAAAAAGACATCAAAAAAGGCCAAACCTACATCATTGGTTGAGTGTCTCCACGGGTGTCTCCGATGCACACCCAAATGATCTTAGAAAATCATCCAAGTCTCCAACTCCAGAGGCGTCAGCCGCCCTTCGGCGCCTGGAAATTGATGCGCAGTATGGACGCCTGAGCTGCGCTCAGAAGGGAGGGGGGACAAAAACAACGACATCTGCCAGACCATTGAAACACAACCCCAGTTATGTTAATCGATCTATCAATCTATCTACAGTATCTGAATGAATCTATCTATCTATCTATCTACCTATCTACCAATCTATCTCTCTATCTAATTCTATCTATCTATCTAATTCTATCTATCCATGGGCTTATCCATCCGTCCCATTCCATCCATCCATCAAGTCTTCAAATGGTGGGAGGGCTTGAATGCCCAACAAAAAATGGCAACGGCACAAGAACGTCACCCTTTGGTATGCTTTGCGATGGATCCAATTGAGACTTTTACGTCCGAAGCATATCCAAAACACAACCTTTGTTGTGACAATGCTCCATTTGCTTACAGCCCAGCTTCCCCCCCAAAAAACATACGTACTCTATGCATCTCTTCGCGGACTCGTTTCGCCGTGTGCTTTGGCCGAAGAAAAAGGAAGACACCTTCGACTCGTCATGACCCAAGCGACTTCTGGGGGAAGCCGCCTTCTTCAGAGCTTCCACCGCAGGAGAGATGCCAAGGCCGAAGTCCCCCATGGCGCCCCGCTGGCGACCCGGTACGACGCGGGCGGTGCCTCAAGAGTAGGGATGAAAAGGAGGCCTCCACTCACATGGCCTGAGCCAAATGGCGAACCTTGCGCAGAAGGGCTAAGGGTCTTCCAGGTAAAACTGCACAATATGTTCTCGAACATGAGCTGGTTTGCAATAAATTTTGTCATTTCTTAACTCGTTCCACAAGAAGGACTCATCTTGTGTCCATGCGTCAATCCATACAGTCTGGCACCACCTGGTTGCAGCCAAGGCTCTTTGAAAGCTTCGTGACGCAGTGGACTTCACTGCCTGGACTTGAGAGATCTTGACAGCTCTTCACAATATAACGCGTTCCTACGCGTTCCTCAATGTTCCTCATATTCCCTTGCTGTTGCGGCTCCATGCGGCTTCCTTTCCCCTCAACTTGCATCAACTTACCTTCGCTCCGGTCAGCAATTCATAAGTCGTGGGCCACGTGGGGACGCAACGCCTAACAAAATCCAAGTCTTGAGTCGTGAGTCCAATGTTCATCCTACTTTGCCTTGACCCTTGGCAAGTAATGCAAAGTCAGGATTAATAAACCTCCCCTAGTTAATCCGAGCCCACAAAGCCGCCGGAAATTGCCCAAATTAAAAGTATTATTCGCTGTTGATTTCCCCCCTATTGTCTAATTTTCTACCAACAACCCCCCCCAGTTAATCCGAGCCTACACGATCCCCAAAAAATAATATTACTTTTAATAAGGGGTTAACTAGTGGAGGTTTATTTATCCTGACTTGACATTATACTTGCTACTGCTGCTACTACTACTGCTGCTGCTACTACTACTACTGCTACTACTACTACTACTGCTGCTGCTGCTGCTACTGCTACTAGCTACTGCTGTAGCTATTGCTGCTGCTGCTGCTGCTGCTGTTTGATGAAATCCTTTAAAATGTCTAGGGCTCAGGGCCTATAAATTGCCTTATTAAAAAACAATTAAAAACAATCATTTGACAAGCTCACAAAGGGTACCCCTCACAAGGGCCGGTCCCCCATCAATAATCTGCACTACTACCCCCTATTAATCTGATCCTGTGTCCCTGGCCATCTACTACCTACTACCTACTACTACCTACTACCTGCTACCTACTACCTACTACCTACTACCTACCCTACTACTACCTACCCTACTACTACCTACCCTACT